GGCTGCTGCTTTATTATCTCTAAACTTGGATTTTTAAAAAATTAATATTACTGATATATTTTTAATGGGAAAGCTGATTTTCTCGCGGGCGGGGGCAACAGCCTGTGTTCCCATCCAGCGAGCGTGGTATGTCTTTCACTTTAAAAGGTCCGGATCCTTCTGGTCATCTGATTCGGGTCAAGCAGGACTTTGCATCGCCAACAGCCGGCCGATCCCACCAGAGCAGCTCCCAGCGCCTGCTGCTGCCCCCCCGGCAGTGAGGAGGGAGGCTCCTTCAATCCCCGGAGGGTTGAGAGGTAAAACATCTCTATCCAGCTCGGTTCCTCTGCTTGCTTTCTCCGCAGGGGTTAATGAAACCCTTGAGATTCGTTAGGTTCATCAAGGCAAATGGTGGCATTGATTCCCGCACCAGCCACCGCTTTGCAGCCCAGGTGCCCCCCCTGGACACCCAGTTAGGACCCTGAAAGGGATGCTTCGGCCTGGGGAGAGATGCTGCTGCCCTGAGGAATGATGTGAAGGCGCTTGGGCAGGGAGGGGGGTGGATGGAGGGGCCAGGGGAACCACAGCTGGGCACCACAGCTCTCATCCCTTTCTCTCTCTGCCCCTGCCCTGCCTGCAGGCTGCCCTCCTCCCCCCCGGCAGTGTCCCCTCCATGGACCACCACCAAGCATGAGAGCCGCAGCGGAACCTGGCGCGGCTGCGTCTGAGGTGCCCCCCAAGAGCGGCGCGGCATCGGGGGAGGCCGGCCGGCAGCAGGGGCAGGCGGAGTGGGGCAGCAAGGCGGGCGAGGTGGCAGGCATGGTGGTCATCCAGTGCATCTACGCCCTGGTGTGCCTGCTGGGCCTGCTGGGCAACTCCCTGGTCATCTTTGTCATCCTGCGCTACGCCAAGATGAAGACAGCCACCAACATCTACCTGCTCAACCTGGCCATCGCCGACGAACTCTTCATGCTCAGCATTCCCTTTGTGGCCACCTCGGCTGCCCTGCACCACTGGCCCTTTGGCCGGGCCCTGTGTCGCACCGTGCTGGGCGTCGACGGCCTCAACATGTTCACCAGTGTCTTCTGCTTGACTGTCCTCAGCCTGGACCGCTACATCGCCGTGGTGCACCCGCTGCGGGCAGCCACCTACCGCCGCCCTCGGGTGGCCAAGATGGTCAACGGGGGGGTGTGGCTCCTCTCCTTGCTGGTGGCTTCACCCATCCCCATCTTCGCCGGTACAGCGACCACCCACGATGGCCAGGCAGTAGCCTGCAACCTCCTGTGGCCCAGCCCGGCCTGGTCGGCAGCTTTTGTGGTCTACACCACGTTGTTGGGTTTCCTGCTGCCGGTGCTGGCCATGGGGCTGTGCTACCTGCTGATCGTGGGCAAGATGCGGGCAGTGGCGCAGCGGGTGGGCTGGCAGCAGCGCCGGCGCTCCGAGGGCAAGCTGACGCGCCTGGTGCTGATGGTGGTGGCCATGTTCGTCATCTGCTGGCTACCTTTCTATGTGGTGCAGGTGGTCAACCTCCTGCTGCCTGGCCGCTTGGATGCCACCATCAACAACGCTTCCCTCATCCTCAGCTACTCCAACAGCTGTGCCAACCCCATCCTCTACGGCTTCCTCTCAGAAAATTTCAGGCACTCCTTCCACGGCGTGCTGCGCCGCTGCCTCGACGCCAGCCTCTGCTGCTGCCACACCAAGGAGGGTACTGCTGAGGAGGAGGAGGAGGAGGAGGAAGAACCCCTTGATTACTGCACCCCTCCCCGGGGGGACGACAAGGGCAAGGGCTGCATCTGCCCACCCCTCTCCTGCCAGCAGGAGCCCGTGCACCCCCAGCCCTGCTGCAAGCCTGGACCCCTCCTGGCAAGGACCACCGCTTTCTAGGCTGTCCCCAGCTCCAAGCAGCAGGTTGGGCATGTGCCCCGTCCTGCAGCAAAGGGGACGCTGGCCGGAGAGGGGACACACTGCCATGCCCCGCACTGCCGCTCCTCACTCGTGCTGTGCGGCTTGACGAAATAAAAAGCCATAAGACCGGCCCATGATACAGGTAATTACTTTGACTGAGTAATTATTGCACTGTCCTCAATTAGGAGGCTGTGCTGGGCTGAGGGACAGTGAGGATTTCCAAAGGTATTTCTGAAGGGGGAGTGTAGCCATGAGGCGGGTGCCACTCCAGAATAACACCGCCCAGACCGCCCCTTCCTTCCCAAAACATGCTCTGAAAGATGGAGGAAAAGTTCTGAAGCCCATCAGCCCCACCACCTCCATAGCAGGATGAGGGACAGGACCAGACTGGACTTCTCCAGCAGCTCTGTGGGGCATTGAGAGCATAGGATCATATCCACCCAAGGGGTAAAAAAAAAAACCACAACAAAACAAAAGAGTAGGAAAAAAAAAAAAAAAGGGGGGGGGGTGTGTGTTTCTGAGTGACTGAGATCAGAGATCAGAGCTTGAGACTACACAGACAATGCCAGGGAGCCCCAAACCTCCCTTTAGCAAATGGGGGAAGGAAAAAATATTGGTCCCACCAATAAACCTCCCCTGCCTTTCCCCAAATTCCCAGGATTTTTGCACACACAGGACCAAAATTGTAATTTCCACAAGGAAACCCAGGAGAACCGGATCAAGCTCCCTTAGCTATAGGTAAACATCCCTTCTAGTGCTACTTGACATACATCCCCACAGGAACCTGAGCTGAGGAACTGCAGCAGGGCTGTCTCGGCTTGGCCACACCAAGTACCATTAAATCAGCCATTTCCAGCTCATTCGGTTTAAACTTTGTCCTTTTCATGTTATTCTCCTTCTCCATTATTTATGGTTCATTCCTTCTATTTTAATCACACTGGTGAAACCAGTGGGGCAACCCAGCCTGACTCTCCACGAAGAGTCCACAACTCCTTTTTTTTTTTCCTAATTTTTATTTTTATTTTGGCTTGTGACTTCTGGAGCTCAGTGAGGAGAAAGTTGGTTGGTTTTTTTGTTTTTTTTTTTTTTCTTTCTTTCTTCAGGAGGAGGAGATAGAATATTCCATTAGCAGCTTTCTATAAACCAGACTGTAAAAGCTTTATTGGTCTACACACAAAATCACCATGTGATTGGGCATTGCGTAGGGTATATTTCCAATAAATAAATATTTACAAATGTGCTGGGTGTATAAAACAGTGGGTGGAACAATTTACATCAGGAAAGCTACGGTCAAAATAAAACATTTTTTTTCATTTCCCTTGGAGGATGCAACGCAGCTCCATCGTATCGGGAGGGGACACACACATACACCCCCCTCTGGCAGCGTGCTTGTTGTGCAGAGCTGGAAAAACACACAATTCCTAGATTTCCCTGCAGTCCACGGCTGGGAAGCAAGCAGCGGGCTGGATCCTGCCCCCCCAAGAAAGTTTTCCCACAAGCTTCAACATGCCTTAAGCTCAGCCCTGGGACAAAACTGGAGGAATACAGGAAAAAACACTGCAGACAGGAGGGGTCAGTTAAGAAGGGTTGTGGAAAAAAAAACCACCAACAGAGCAAAACAACAAAAACACACAAAAAAACCCCCCAAACCCAAACAGTTTAACCCAAGAACAGCAGAAAATTGTGGAAGAAATTGCATGGGGAATGTGAGGCTGTGAATGACCTTTCCTAGCATGGAAAAAATTACCCTGACATTCTTGGGACCCACATTTAACCTCCATAGTACCCCAAAAAAAGCCCAGAAATGGTAAGATGGAATAAAAATCAGGCATTTGAGCCCTCACATGGGGACTCTGAGCAGGATCCTCACTGTCACTCAGGATTTATGGTGAAAAGTGCTCAGCTGGCAGAGGTGAGAGATAAAAGATGGGCGGGGGGGACACCAAAAACTGAGATTTCTTCTGGTGTGCAAGGCAAAGTGCTGACCACTACTAGATCTTTGCTCCTTCTTCCATCACTCAAAAAAACAAAACTTAAGCCAGACCAATGCCAGGAGCATCCCAGCTCCTCACCACCCTGGGAAAACAGTCACATCCAGCCCAGCGACACATTCCCAGCCAAGAAGAGGGGGAATTGGGGCAGGGCAACCTTCCATGCTCTGCAACGCCTCGGCCAGCTGTGGCACGCGTGCTCTCCCCCACATTGATGTGGATTTAAACAGTTCCAGATGGAGACATCCCTCCTGTAATGTGGATTTTCCTTGGAGCCCCCTCCAGCAGCTGGCTCAGGAAAAGGAAAGCTGAGTGAGCAAAGGGAGCTGAAACAAAGCACTCTGTGCCTTCCACCCAACCCGCTCTACAGAGAGAGCATTGCAAAAGCCAGCTGGAAAGCAGCGAGTATTTTTGGGAAGTGGGGATGATCACAGCTTTTCCCAAATGCTCTTTATCATTAAAAAAATTGCTGGGGGGTGTAGGGGCAAGGAAGTAAATGTTACCCAGTTCTGTCCACCTCCCTCTCTCTCCATCCATCCCAGCCTCCCTACAGTTTCTGGACAGAGGTGGCACAGCTGGAGGCAACTGGCTGAAGTCCCATCTCCTTCTCGTGGGGGCCACTGCACTTGTAATCCATGGAGGCAGCAGGTCTGCAGCGCTTCTTGACCAGGTGGTAGCCCAGGGCCAACAGGGCCAGAGTGGCGGAGAGGGCACCCACAGCAATGCCCACCAGCACGCCGGGATGGAGATGCCCTACCTTGGGTGGAGTCCGGCTGGGGATGGGGGTCTGGGGCCCAAAATCCCCCGAGTACGCTTCCTCCTCGTCCCCAGGCAGGATTTTTTCGCATTCGGTCTGGTCAAAGAGCCGGTAGCCGTCCTGGCAGTGGCACTGGTAGCCACCCGGGAGGTTGGTGCAGTTGTGTGAGCAGTAGTTCATGCTACACTCATCAAAGTCCACGCAGATATTCTGGCCCTCGTCGTCCTCGTCCAGCACGAAGCCGTCGGGGCACTCACAGGACTCGCCGTGGTTGTCGCACTCGGCTGGGCACTGGCTGACGTTGCAGTGCCGGAAGCACCGGGTGGGGTCCCCCGGGTCCACCGCGTACCCCGCGGAGCAGCTGCAGCGGTACCCGTCCCCCTCAGGCACGTCGTCGCACTGGTGCTCGCAGGGTGCCTCTCGGCAGCGGGATTTGGGCTGGCAGCGCTCTTTCACCATCTCGTAGCCGGGGTAGCAGCTGCACAGGAAGCCGCCCAAGGTGTTGATGCAGACCTGCTCGCACAGCCTGGGCACCGTGGCGCAGTCGTCGATG